GCACGGGTTTGGCCTGGGGCGGAGATGATGGTGTCCATTGTTGGCGGTCTGGGCTGTGTGAAATTTTGAGGCTTGAGGTTGTGATGTTCTGTTTCTGAGACTCTTTCTGGTTGAAGGGGTAGCTGTCTGATATATCTTGGATTCTGCATCGAGATCCTTGAGTACACCTAGCATGTGGATATCCTCAAGTACCTAAACTTTCCATGTTATAAATAGCCCACTCATCAAACGTCGCCTTTCGATGATATCATGAGATGGCATGTTTAGAGATTGAAGTTGTTTCCCCTCCATCAAGACAATCACAGCACACCGTAACACATTCCAAAGGTAAGGGTCTGACATAAGCGAATCTGGCGATAGCATCTTGAGAAAAAAAGAGAGCTTGAATCTGTCAACATCTTTGTGTTGGACGAATCGGAACTTGTGCATCGTAATGATGACGCCCCAGACGAGGCAATTCGTAAGTATCCCCCTGACGGATTAACTGACATTCCGTGCCTGTACGAGATACTTTATCAACGCTAGTTCCCTTTCCTCGCTTTAGGAGGCAAAAAGGATTCGGCGGTCTCCTCATCTTTGAAGTCTTGTCATCTCAGAAAAAACTTCAAGGCAGCCGTTTGTTTCAGCTCACGTAACTTTTCGATGGCCGATCTGGAGACCTCTCCACGGGCGGTCTGTTTCCCCCGCAATGTGGCGTTGCATGAACAAGACAAACAATCTCCAAAATCATACCCATCAAGTAAAAATTGTCTGGCTCATTCGTACATATACCCCCCAGCCCACCTCTCACCAAGACCAGCACGGCCTCAAAAGGAATTTTGAGACCCGAGTTGATGTCGTTTTGAGAATCCCAAAATGATACTCGGCCAGCAATTCCAACCAAGTCTTGGCGACATTCAAATCTTGCAAGATCGCCACTTTGTTTACGATCTACGACAAGAAAATGGTGCCTGATGAGGATCGCGCGATACAAACTGTGATCTCTTCATTTCAAAGTCGATTACATCAGAAAACGGCTGGAAGTGACGGAGTTGGGATGGAGCAAGGAAGAAGCCGATAGACAAAAAAGCGGATTTTTTTTTTAAAAAAAAAGAAGAAAAAAAAGGAGACAAACAAAGGGGATGTTTTACTCAACCTCAAAAAGCGGTAACAACACCAGAAAAACAAAAATGAGTGAGTCCCCTCGACCGGAATCGAGCCGGTGACCTTTCGGTAATCAATAAATTCCTTTACAGCCGAACGTGATAGCCAACTACACCACAAGGGGTTGATTTGTTGAAAATGAGTCTTGGCTTGTTGGTTTATGTGGGGATGATGGCAAATTGCATCCTGGTAGAGTTCCGCCACCAACAACTCCTTCGGACTTCAGCTCGGTCTTCACATACCGGTCATAAAAGGATGCCAAATACACCTATTGAGGGTTATTCCATGTTACCCATACGTGCAGGGAGCAGTTGTGGTGTTCCTCGGTGAGCAGAGTGGCAAACATGGTATTCAGGAGCTCACTGCCTTGTTCCATTGACCCATTCTACCTTTTACAAACCGTGCCTTCATCCTGAACGTTAAACAATTCTGCCCATCAACCAAGCAAATCCATCTCCTCCCCCGTAACCAACTCCCAAACCATATGAACACACTCCACCGTACTCTCAAGCCCAAACCCGATAACAAGTCCCAGCCCAGTCGCAATTCCCACGGCAAAAGTGGCAACGACCTCATCGGCCTTCAAACTTCCAGCATCCCCATGATGAGATTGGCTGTGAGCACCAACGGCTGCTCCTCCTCCCTTTAGTTGTTGCGTCGTCTTTGTGAGCTGATCATCTCTTCTATTGCCGCGGGGACGATCAAGCATGCCGCCTGCCTGAAAATACCGGCCGCCAAAAAAGTGCAAGAAGGAGCGCTTACCGCGACTACGGGAGTATTACCACTTTTCTCAGAGATTGCTTTGCCTCCTCCTCCTCCTCCACGTGCACCGCCACTGGCGTGCCCGCCCCCTCCTCCTCCACGTGCACCGCCACTGGCGTGCCCGCCCCCTCCTCCATGGCCGCCGCAACGCTTGGTGATCGCGTGCAAGATATCTGATGTGTAGTCGTAGAGCTTTTCAAGAGGACTGCTGATTACGCTTTGTTGGCTGTTGAATGGGCAGGTACCGACGTAAGTGTCGTCGTCGGTGTATTTGATGACCTGTGACTGAGGGGTGACATCTTTGCGCGTTAATGTGGTGTAAAAGTTATCATCTAAGAGGCCTGCGGTGGTAAGAGAACCCGTTAAAATCCCAATGAGGATCGCGGCGGTGGTTGGAAAGCGCATCTTGGCTGTTGGGCGTGTTGTGAGTCCCGGGAAAAGGAATCAACTCCAGGGCAAAAAAGGATGCAACCGCATATTTTGTATAGATATCGACCAATCTCAATTCTGCTCAAACTGTGCTGCAATTTTTGGTTGTGGCTTCATCTTTGAGCAGGTATACCGGTTGAAGGTGAGATGTGGTTGATGACGCTGTGGCTGGTTTGGGGGTTGGCATCCCCAACAGACTTGCTTCTGGCTTTCCGTGTTGACAATCGCACATTGCAGATCGCAGGATTAATTACTGGCTATCACATGATGCCTGTATACTCCGGTCTCGACTCGGGCTATCAGGGACGGGATAAAGGATTATGATCGGAGGAATGTGAATAAGAGGAAGCACCAAGAAATTATAAAGGATATGTAGGTAGCTAAAAACTTGTGCTCATTCCTGGTTTGTACTCCTGTGCAGCTATGTACCTAGACAGATGAGGAAGAAGGCCATCGAAACCCACCCCCTTCGAGATCTTTCCACGCATGATCTAACCTTTTAAAATAGGTACATGATCGGAGGTTCAATACACATTTCGGGTGAATTCTGCCAGACAAACACCGCCAATCTGACCAGACAGTCCTCTCGTCCTCAATCTAGTCCAAGCAACAACTTTCGCCTCTCCAACAGTGCCAAGTTCTTCGCCCCCAACTTGACCTTCGCCAAATCACAGTGCTTAATCTGACGCAGTAGTTCCTGAAACCTGCTCAAAGGCATACAGTCTCTATGAAAGCTATTTAGAGGCAACAACCCCCGAAATACTTTTAGAAAACTGTCCTCAACGTTTGCCACAGAAAATCGAACATTATCTGCCATCGTCGGAGGCAGAGTGCACATGAAAGCTCTGGATCTGTTGACCATTCCTCGAACAATCGCTTCATTGCACCGGATTCGTTCACTCTTGATGTCCTTGCACTTGAACTTGCATGGGCTAAGCTGAAGCGGGAGACGGGTGCCCTTGACAGGAGAGTCACTCTCAAGGCGTGAATTGTACTCGTTGTGAAAAAAGTCAAGCATTCGTTGCATAATCTCGCGACGATGCTCGGCGATGATCTCTGCAAACACAAGTTCTTATCAGCATACATATGTGACCCTGACAGAAAAGGCATTGGGACCTTGCTCTTACCATCCAAGTCGGGAGGGCCGTGGCCGTCTTCAACAAGGTCATCCACGACATAACGAATCCTCCAGGTCAATTTTTGACCAATTCTCAGCGGCTGCACTCTACTCCCATTCACGACCGGTGGGTTTTCTGGATCAAATCCTCTCTCAAAGAACTTTGACACGCCCAGCTTCCCATCTTCTGCTATAGTTGCGCTGCAGGCCCACCACATAATTCGCTGCCTCAGCATCTGTTCGTCTCCTATCTCCCAAGCCACGTAGGTCATGCGTTTGCTGATCAAGAGTTCTTCCTCGGGAAGGTATAGCATCCCCCTACTTCTCGAGCTGGCGCAGTTCTTCCAACGCGTCACCCAGGGGCCGGTGACGTGCGTCATGAAGTACTTGTCAGCCGTGCTCATGATCCTGGCGAAGAGGAAAAAGGTGTCTGACAGGCCCCGCGTCGGTACGTCGTTGAACCTGCCGTGAATAATCGCAAAGAGGACCTCAAGAGCCGCAGGATGATCCTCAGGGAGATCAACAGTCCACGGTCCCATCTCGGGTCGGATGGATTCTTTCCACAGGCCGAAGAGCATCTTCTTGAAGACGATCGAGGAGCGTCGGAGCGTGAGGGAGCAGACTTGCATTTCGTGTTGATCCGGCCCCACTCGTATGATGAGATCTCCGTCTTCGTCGAAGCATGTCTTGTGTGGTGGTTCCTTGGGAGGGGGTGGGTACAGATACCGGTCATCTGGCAAGTCCCAGGGGATGAAATTTTTGACCTCCATATGAATGAGTGTTGAGTGCGGCCACAATCACCAATGTTTTCCGGAGTGGTAATACCCCAGGCGTTGGGGATTTTTTCTTAGTGCCCACTTGGGGTTCCGACCGGACTCGGAATGCGCCACGGATTTTGGATTTGGGTTTGTCGTCTAGTCTCATGTGGTTACGCCACGGGACTGGACAGAGCATCTCGTTTTGGCACATTTCAACATGACAAAGAATGCTTTCAGATAATCAAGATCGCCCCAATCTTGCATGATGAAGCCGAAAATACTTGATATATTTTTGCTTCCTGTTGTGGAATGATAATTATAGTGTGGTGAAAAAAATCCAAAAAAATCACCATCTCGATCCATGCTTTTTCTCAATGCTTTCAAGCGGGATTTGGTTTCTTGCGAAGCTTACAAGTCTTCTAATCGGATTCCTCTTTCCCGCCCCTGGCCCCATTTTCAGGGCTACCTTTTGGACCAACCGTGTTGGACGATCTGCTTTCTGTCAAATATGAAACATTTTACTTGACTTCACTTCTCTCATATCGCGTTCTCTGTTTTATTCCGAGGTTGGTCTTCTTTCCTCCCCACACATTTAGGGGTTTCACATCGAATCACAGACTCCACTCTTGTTACAAGGATGAGGAAAGTAAAAATCTTCCATTAAACCATTGGACATTGGGTAAACATGGGAGCACCAGACAGAATCAAGAAGGGATACACTTGCAGAAACTTGTTTGCAAGATTAGGCCTTTCAGTCCTGTTACCGAAGCAAGCCTCCAACAACTACAATAGGCAACTTGGCCGAGCGGTCTAAGGCGCCACGTTAAGGTGTATCCTTGATATCAAACCCCCCATGGGTTCCGTGGTCCGAAAGGGCGTGAGTTCGAATCTCACAGTTGTCATGAAAATAGTCACATCTGCTCAGTGTGATTTCTTTTTTGCTTTTTTCCCGTTGTAGATTTTGAATGTCGTGTTTTTGACATTAAGTGACTATTTGTAATCATCACAATCACCACCAACTGTCACCACGGCCGCCTTCAGGCAAAAAAAAAAGTATAATATAGTGGGCCCTTTAAAGAGAGCTGTCCCTCGAGGCCGAGCAGTGAGGTTCTCAAATATTATACTGCCTAGGCTGAGTGTCTCGTGGTATTGTTGCCTAATTCTCAATCTCCTCCAGAACGAAATACCTGAGAGTAACCGCATACCTTCCACCAATGGCATTGCTGGTGGAGTAGGCAAACTTGTCGTAGTTTCCGACGGGATAGAGCCGGCCAGAAACATAGAAGAGATCAATGTTGGGGGCTAATAGTCACAAAAAGATCAGCACAGCTTCCAGAAACAGTAGGTAGGTAGGTAGGTAGGTAGGTAGGTAAACTTACTCCCTCCGTTGGTAGCAATCCACTGCCATCCGATAGTCCGTGTCTCCGTGTCGATCGTCCAGATGTCCGACTCGTACTTGTTCTTGCCGCTGTCTGTGGTTTCGGGCTGGGAACCAGGAGGGGCTGTGGAAAAGAGTTTGGTAAGTTTCGTAGACACACACAAAGGGTACGTGATGGCGACTTACTAGGCTCAACGAACTTGGTAGAGCCGCTGTTTTTTTTCACATGGAGTTGTTAGCATACAAGATTTCTCATTATGACAGATGAGATGGCCAGGTGCAAAAAGACTCACTAGTAATCCTCTAGCTCAATAATGTTGGAAGGATGGCTGTCCTTGTTGAATCCAAGAGCGCCCGTTACTCCGTCCGCAGTGATGCGAACAGCCGAACCGGTCTTGGCGTCGCCGGGCAGGGTGAATCTGAAGGCGGCGGATCTGCCGTCGGTGGCGAGAGCCGGGCCATTGCTGTTGTAGATCCAGCCGATGGAAGCTCCCGTGTCCTTGCGGAGCGCCTCGATCTTGACGACTCTGGTGATGGGTTTGGGCGGTTGAGTGGGGATGACGGTGACGGTTGCGGTTGCGGTTGCGAGAATAGTAGTGGTGGCGGTTTCGGTGACGAAGGCGTACTCCTCGATACCGGTGATGGTGACGGCCTCGGCGGTGGCAGTCGTGGTGCCCACGGAAGGAGCAACGCTCAGGCAGGCGCAGGCTGAGGAGACATACTTGGTGCCGTAGGTGGTTGCCAACCAGCTGGGGTAGTCGGCCGTCAGATCACGCTTGGCGGGAAGGGTATAAGTGAAAGTAGGAACTGAGGAGGAGCTAGAGGCAGTGATGGTGACAGTTTCAGTCGCATCGATCTCGGTGACAGACTCAATCACATAGGCCGTCTCGGTGACGGTGGGAATGATAGTGGGCGTGACGGTGACGCTGACAGTGGACACAGGAAGACCAAGATATTCACGGCAGAAGTCTGGCGCACCCTCCTCGGAACGAAGAACGCTGAGCAAGGGGTCGTCGGAAGGGCAGGTACGAAGACAACGAGCAGCTGCGCCTGAGATAAAGGCAGCAGCTTGAAGCAGAAGCACGCTGCTCTGCTTGGTTGCGATCATGTTGAAAAGAGTGACTGTGACGGCAAAGTAAATCGAAAAAAAAAAACAGGGCTGAACTGAAAAAGTTGACGAGATAGGAAAAGCAAAAGAGGGAAAAGGAGGCATTGAAGAAATTATACCATTGAACTGATATCCACTTTGTGATCCGGAGAGAATGGTCTGGCCCGCCGTGATGGGCGGAGCATGGCGGAGATGAGCTTTGGGGCTCCATAATGCTTCTCGATAGTCTCCTCTCTCAGACCAGGATCCCTTTTCAGCTATGGTTTTGACTCGTCGAGAAACCACCTCTTAATAGCTTGGAATAAAAACTCGGTGGGTCGGAGGAATAGATCCGGGGAACGTGTATGTGAAGGGGGAAGCCAAGTATAACAAAAAGCCCGCTTCTTGACCTCCGATAACAATTTCCATATCTTGATCCGTGGTGCGCTGACTACGGCGCAATTAAGGGGATATAATCTGCCACCCCGGCTAGACTTACCACATTTCAATAGAAGCGAACCCCAAGGGAAGATATCCCTACTTTAAGCCGCATACCTACTTTAATAACCCTTTTTTACTTACCTTTTTTTTTTTTTTTTTTTTTTTTTTTGGTTTTTCGGTTATTATGAGATGCCTCTTTCAAGGGAAGGGATAATAACTCTTAGCTAGGCCTCGTCCGCGGGACTAAATAGGGTAAATAATAGTAATGGCTTATATTACGAATACGTGATACTTTCTATAACTGCTCTTAGGGAAGAGAGGGTAAATAAAAGATCAAAGTTACGGAAATACTATAAAGTAATTTTATATATTATAACTACTTATAACTAACGGAATTTAGACTCTCTTTTCCATTTTACTAACGTTCCCGTTTATGAAGGCATTAGAGCGGCTGATATTGACTTGGTAGATAAGCCCATACTGTGGCAGATGGCTCATGACTAGTGGGAAGTGGCTAGTGGGGAGTGGCTCGTGTGGAGGGTTCATCTTTGTGATCTTGTGTATATACACCTAGAGGCTGACCCTTCAAAACATGGGAAGGAAGGCAAGGAATTCAACACTACTCTTTTGGCAATTCGTTTTTGGACTTGTTACTGTGTGTCCCCACCTGATCAGAGGGATCAGATGGCTTACTGAATCTTTGTTTGAAAGGAGCCTCGTTGTAGTGTGAGTGAGTGAGTGAGTGAGTGGAAAACCCTCATTCAATATAGGATGGTCTACCTAAGCATCAAGATAAGGCCGGCTATAGGATTAGAAAGGACGTATAAAAGTGGAGTTGATGCATTATATATGATTGCTTACGATATTAGGCGAGGTAATAGGGGGATAAATCACGCCTCTAATAACTTTGAGACTAATATTCGTGCCCCGCGATTCGTTAGACTAAAAAAAGACCTCGTAACCAGGACTTCAGCTGCTTCCCCTTCTGCCTATGGTCGGCTGGAACAGCATGGAAGGCACTAGTGTTGCTCAAGACGAGGAAGTGACGATTATTCGTATCTATCATGAAGAAGGAGAGAAGCCTCTACTTATAGAGGCAAGCTAGCCAGCCTGCCAACAATGTCGTGATGACTTCCTTTCTTCCAGAAGTCATCATGACAATGAGCTTTCTCCTGGGGAGAAAGGGGGAGGGAGGCGCAAGGGGCGTCAGGAGGTAGGTGTATGGCAAATCTCTTCGTTGCCATGAGTGTCTCAGTTGGCTAGACGGTTGATTGTGGCCCAGCATGATGGCACGTCAGGGAACGGCTTTGCCACGGTATTCAGGGGCGTGAATTGCCGAACCCCGAGGAAGAAGCCTGGGTTATAGTACCCGGCGCCGGTAAACTAGTCAACGGTCCTCTGTCATGCTGGAAGCCCGTCAACCAGCCAGTTGAGACCAATGCCCATCTTAATCCCGTCGTTCACGAACTGGGCGGCTTCCTTCGAATATGTGACCTCACATAACGCCTTACACGACTCGTTATGCTTAATTTTAAGTTCGAACGGCGATCTCGTTATGGAATAAGCTGGTCAAGTGCATATGTATTGCGTGGCACCCCTGCCGAACCGAAATTGCTGAATTGGAACAATACTCTGGTAGCGTGGACAGTGTGTTGCTTCCTACACACTGCCATCACTCTTGGATTTGCTATTCTTCTTATCTCGTAGCTTCTGCCACCAGTCTTTGAGCACATTGAAGAAGGCCAGCACGACACAAATGATGACGACAAACGCTGTTATAGGAACTGTAGGGTTCAAATCTCGTAAGCATAATTTTCTAGAGTTATGTGGTAAGGGTATTGTACACTTACAGATAATCCCGAGCACGAATCCGAGAGTCAACTGGGGGAACTCAGTTATCTGCACCGTGAAGAAGGACGTCAGGAATGAGAGAGGTGCCTAGGTGTAGTGGTAAGTGCTTGACGTCAGTATCCTCTGCTTAATCGATAGTCGGGGACTGTGTTAGAGTGTCAAACGCACAAATATAATAGTGACGACTGTAAAGGTCATGATTGCTTGGCCCTGTTTCGCGGACTCAATATTCTGCACGTTGAGGAAATGGGCTTCTTCGGCATTGGCCTGTTTTTGTTTAAGGTCGAGAATGTGCTTGAGCTGCCATGGCCGAGAGTTAGTGTCTTGCTTGGGCTCCCTCCCTTTCTATGGACGGTGGAATAAAAGCAGCTACATACCGCCTCCTGTGCCTCCAAGGCTTGTTGATCGATCCTCTCCAAATCCTTGAGGCGTTTCTTAACCATGAATAATAGGGTTGGAAAGACTGCCGGTTCCTCTTGAACCATCTTTTGCGTTTCAAAGACCGCCCGTATAATTTTTAGCTCATCACGGATGTCCTTGACTTTTTCGAGTAGGCCCACCTCCTTTCCTATTCCATATCGCTCTTCTCCGCCACCTTTAGCGTCCCATTTTCCTTCCTTTTTCAGCGAAGAAGAAAATTCTTGGAAAAGTTTTGATTCTGTGTGCGTCTGGTAGTAATATGGCGTTGCCGTGGAATTAGTGAGGGTTGCAGAAGTTTGATAAAACTGGCGTGACAAGACGGGGAAGCTTACGACGTCGCCAATGGCGCTCTCATATATCTCCCGGACTTGGAGCCACTTTTCTCGATACTTGGCGATGTCGAAGAGTATGCCCGAGCACTCGTTTGCAATGAGTTCAGCGAGCTGCATGCCATTCTCTACAGGCCGAAGTTGCCTGTCGATTACCAGTCGTCTCTCTACCGCCGCAACGATATCGGTCATATTGTGGGGATCGCAAAGGTTCTCGTAGTCCCATCTACATGGGAAGCTGGATATCACCGTTTCTGCGTTGCGATTCGCCTTGTTTAGTCTCGACTGCCCGTATGTTTATCGACGCGTTAACTCAGGCTTGTAGAGATGTGCTTACTATTATCAAGAACCCACAACCACAGTTGATCAACCATGAGGATGGGGAAGTTTGGCTCT